CTTGGACAACCTCACCTCCTGGTCCAAATCCCGCTGTCTTTCACTCAACGCCTCATTGTAAAGATCTTATTTTCTCGCTATCCAAGGAAATTGTTATCAACAGCTCCTGACTCACACCCCGCATCTTAGTATTAATAGTACCAGTCTAAACTCCTGTATATTAGTGAAACATCTCAGTTACACTAAGTCTGGATCTTATGTAGTCACATCAAGTGAATGAAACATTCACTAAAGTCGGGAGACTAGCGTTCTACGTCTCCCGACTTAGGTCTTCATCCGTACCTCGTTACTTAATTATACTGTTTGTCACCCCTTGCGTCATACCACACTGGACATATTGATCGCCTGTGATATTCACCGGATTCTTAAACGGGCAATTCAAAGCGATCAGCAAGTCGCTGAAGCATCTTGCTCGATGCAGCGGAATTTATGCTAGTGTTTATTGACGTCATGGTGTCCAAGCATGATCGCTCCTGCGAAAAGCTGGCCTCCAAAGTACTCACTGATGCCAGTCACCCTCTCCATTGTGCATTGTCCGAATGTATCTCGACGTCTTCGAGACAAAGTACAGACAAGTACAGACAAAATACACAGCCATTTATGCCCGCACACGAGCTTATGGTACGTCAGTTGTTCTCTATTGGTCACGTTTTACTGTGATCAAGACCTAGACAATAAGACCTTATTGCCAGACTGAATCGAGGATGTCATCACCGCCACATTTTTAAATTGGTGGCGCACCACATACATTTGTCATATTTTTACTTGATTTTATTTGTGCTCTTAGCGTATGTGTTGTAGCTGAATATTCACTCTTCATGGGTGCACAAAGCGCATTGTTGACTTGAATTGACTTGAAATGCATGTTTCTAATTTAACAGTAGGGTCGGGGATTCTAGCCTCGCAGGGGACAATTGGGACGCACCCAGCTGACGATTCCCGGATGAACGAAACAGCCATCCGGTGCCCTTCCGGAGATGTAGTGGCTTTGACCAATTTTCACCAAATCAGTTCAACTGCTTCCTTGCACTAATCTTTAAAACTCTTTTCCCCTTCGTTTTATATTCGCTTACTTCTATTATTGGTGCCCTGAGCAAGGTCACCGGAATCGCTGAATGTTGGTAGGGCATTCACAAACAATTATGCGAGCGGTTTCATGAGCGGGACTCGAAAATTTCAACAAATTGCACCCACAACCTGTTTGGTTACATTTTTCTGTTTATACGTCTATATGGGGGATTCGAAATAAGGCACGCGTGTTACAGATCAAACCTGTTCTGCAATCGATCAAAGCTACTATCTCCAGCGACTAAATTGAACACTAGTCTGCTCATGTTGCACACTGATACGTGCAAATCCATGGTCATTCCTTTAGAAAGCATCTTTCTTCTAACACCTTTGTTTGTCGAATGTTAGCCGCGAAATACTAAGTCCAGAGCAATAGGTTAAGAAGGCACCCACCATATAACATCGCTGTGTACAGCTGCACAGTTGTCATGCAAAAGTGAGCGGTCCTGCCTTTCTGAGATACTGCAGGGATGCCTGACTCCGTGCAGAGTCAAAGACACCACTCCGGTATATGTGGGTTTCAAACCAAACCGCGTGAACCAGTGTACCGTGGATCCCCTCTATTACATCACTTGCATCATCCATTGTCAAAGACACAATTGACAATCAACGTCAGAGTGGTGTAGAGAAACGCAGCTTCTGCTGTAACGCTCCGGACCCAATTAGACTGGATGTGGTTTTACCGCGAGTGCCGTGGCTCAATTGTCATGCCTCATCGCCTCATTTGTGCCAATATCAAGTGATAGAGCGCGCGTTATCGCACACGCTAACACATCGCCCACCTGCGTGTTTCACATGTTTAATACTTCAAACATTGAAAATGACAAAAAAGAAGAAAAATTGGCGTTTGAAAAACGAGCTAAATATGTTTCTTTCTTCCTGCGGCATATTAGCTGAAGTGTGTTACTCACCTTCAACTTCTATGCCACGAGGATTCTGACGCAATGACTGTCGCTTTTCCGCTGATCTCCATGGTTTTCTGTCGGTTCTGTGTCAATTGCTAGACTGCTGAGATTACATACATACCTACCCGCGTGACATCGCGTTAGGCGATTTAGTGGCATTTAATGCGCATGATATTGAGGACAGTGCTAAGTTTCAAGGTGAATTTATCTCACCACTGCATTGTTCACCGCGGTTATATGGTCTATCGAAGCTTACGACTGGGTTAGTAACTGTTAAGCTTAAGGATCATAAGCCTGTCTTGTAATCCTAGGGCGCGGGTTCGAGCGTTTGTAAGGACTAGGTGACCTTAGTCCACGTGCGATTGGTGGTGGTCGCGCGGCAGCTGCGCATCGGTACTGCGTTCCGGCTTGCTGCTGATGCCATTTAGTGACGGTTAAGCACCAGTTCAGCTCCAAACCTGTGGCTACTATAAAGGCCTCCCTCCGCTATGTATGATGTATCTACAACCCCTGCATTACATCACCCTCCCAAGTACTTTTATCCGGATAAACCCAGTTATAGGTGCTGTAAGTGTTGATAGACTGGGAACCGACTTTGGAATAATCTTGTTTCCCATCCGAACGTCTTTCAGTCTTGACCTCTTGAGTTTGTGCTGGGCACAATATGTTTATGGCTGGAGGAACTGATGTTCTATTACTAGCTACCTAGATTCCCTCGTAGGTGCTATTGAGGCGGTCGGATCTAGGTGTAGAGAATGAACTTTACGAAGTGAGGCACAGTTTCCTTGGTATGCTTTGGAAACAGCTTGTGGCCTAGGGCGCATCACCGTGTTGTTATTCTTCGGGCGGGTGTGGGGGTTCGAAGCGATAGTTCAACAGATATCTGTTATGTCAGGCCCCGCGAATGCTTCCATCCACCAGTAACGGCAGTGAGGATACGAACAGGAACACTTACGGGGCTCTTTTCATAGGGAAACAGCATAGTTAAACAGAATGACGCGAAAATGTTCAAGTCAACCAGAACGTTGAAAGCGTGCGAACCAACAAAGCCAATCAAGGCCGAACCAATAAGGAATCAATCGGATGCCCACACAGGACGGAACTCGGCAGTGTTCGCGTCATGCTGGAGCTATTATCCGCACCCACAAGCAAAAACCCTGAACAGCCAATGCAGCTAACGACATAGTACGTTATAACAAGCGTCGGTGAATTACTACGACAAAAAGAAATTCTGTATTTATGAAGACGTACACACATATATCTACATTTTTGTCTCTCCTCTAATAGCATCTAAAATGCTATATTTGCCCTGTTCTTTTAAATCTTTGAAGGCATACACACACTGTCTGGTTGTCTGTAGTAGTCATACGGATGTACGTGTTTGATAAGTTCAAAACTTCAATTGAATACGTGAGAGTCGTATGGTGTATCACTTAGGGAAAATAGACCGGAATTTTCTCTACCTGCACCACGCCAGATTGTCAGTCTTGTCAATCTAGGGGGTTCCAACGGCCTTTCAGTATTTTCGATATTTTTCCATACTACACACTGTGTTTTTGCTTGCCTTAATTATGCTTCCGATTTTTTTGTATCGCCACTATGCTTATGCCCAGTACCAGCGCACATGCAGAAAAGCACCGAACAGTCATTTCATCTCGCTAACATCCACTAGCGATAGTGGTTTCCCATCAGTTCTGTGAGATTCAAGTCTCCGAGATGTTTGAAACCGAACCATGCGTACTAGCAACAACAACCTATGTGCCCACCTTAGTAACGGCGTCTTGGTAACAACTGGCACATAACACCTGGGACACTACCTTTTTGGACCAAGGATCAAAACACTAATGTCATGGTTATACCACGATCCGGCTAGAGCTTTACATATGTTGACGAGTGCGTTTTCACCGCAGCTTTTTACATGGGTCAAGTATTCATCTAGCGGTTAAACCGCCGTATGTAAAATGCAAACGCATCGAACGGTAAAATCAGATTCAGTAAAATCATCACCATCATTATAAATACAGGTTACTTAAGATGACAAGCACATCAGCTATTTTGGTGCAATGCAAAATGATAGGACATATGTAAAAAGCAAGCCGCTAGATATTACGGAATAAAAATAACAATCCACAGCGAGTAATATCATACTTGGCATCATATGCTGCATCGAGTGTGAGATCGTGGTTGGAGGAGGATGCTAAAAGAGAGTGGGAAGGACAAAGTAACTCACAACCCAAAGGCCATTGAGGTCGGCTCCTGGTCATATTAGCAACTGTGTCTAACCAAACGTGTTCATCGTCCATGACACCGAAGCCCAGCAGTTGGGAGGCACCAACCGACACCAAGTTTGAAGTGTAGGTATTCACATCTCTGGACAGCGTTATCGCTTGGCCTTCCCTCCTCTTCTTCGATCCGCACGTCGATGGCTTAGACAACGCAGATCATGAGAGTTGGTGGATTGGCATGCGTGAGGTGACAGCTGGAAAGGTTGCTACAAGCAAACAAGAGACTGAATACAAGAAGCTTATTCACTTCGCGGGTGGCCGTGCTGATGCCGCGAATTCGCAGAACCGCAAACTAGATAGAATCTCTGTTTCCGTAATTTCACTCTTAGCTTGTAACTTTTGAAGTGCAGTTTTGTCAATCATAGTTGACGCGATGCACCATGAGCTAAGCTGCGTTTCTGTCGCTCTGCGTTAGTGTCCAGAAAGCAATCATAGGCCCGAAAATATCCGGCTGAAAAACCCCCATTGATTAATTAAACAAATAAATAACTGGTTTTGTTCTTGTTGAAACGAGACATATCAGTGCAGGTATGATCAAATGTTTGACAGAGCTACAGGAATACTGTAAGCGTACCTATATAATAAGGTTGAGGTTGCTGTTTGCAAAGTAGGTGGTTCCATAATTGGTAATATCGTGTTGAATACAACATTTACTGCGGTCTTCATGTTTCATGCAATGTTAGTGACTTTCCGCTGCTTACCGAATTATCACGACTCCATTTCCTTCCTCTACTTGGTTGAGTTTTCCGCTCCGAACCGAGGATTGCGCCAACATATTCGCAACACAAACGGAGAGTAATAGACATCAAATCGAAAACAAAATTTCAATCCGAAGATATCGATGAGCACGTTTCTTCGCAAGCACTGGGCTCCCACTTGCTGGTCGATGGTATCCACGCCAACGGTAAACTAGCATCCAGCATTAACGTCGATGAGGATAAACCATACCCTTCGACTTCCTCCTCCAGTATCGGAGATACAGTATTGAAAACCAACGAACTGGATCAGAAACCTGTCATGGATGACGAGCATGATACTCGGTCTTTGTCCACTTCACAGACTAACCTGTGCGCAGACCAGATGAGCTTCAAGGAACAACTCAAGAATTCTCTAACTAATGTGAACTATGTCCTACTGGTCATTAGTTATGGTAAGATTGTTCAATTCCATCATAATCTCAGTAACACACAGTGTTATTTACACTAAATGCGCATCGGTAGCTGCTGAGTTTTAAGCCAATTTCTCACAACCATTGCCACCACACCACTGTGCCAGTAATTACAAAAGTGAACAAGACCCTTATCTTGGCCCAACACGGCAGCAGTTAAGCCGATTGGCTATCAGAACTATTTCTATTCTCAATTTCTATGGTTCCTCTGCGTTTGCATTGGCCGATTGTTTTCGGTGCGCTAGTTTATCCTTCTCACAGCCAACCTATATGCGTTTTAGTCAGCTGGTATATTTTACTAATAGTTTGTTATGGTGGTGTTTCACTAGAGAACCACTTGTCTTATATCCCTTCAACTACAGTCTGTATACCGAGCTTCGATCTATGTCTGTAAAACAAAAAACCGCCTGTTACTCGTAACATGCAACCGGTTTTGAGGCTTTTGTGTGTGCTGTTTGGTTGGTTCTTACATGCGTTCATCGCCGCTGCTACAGGCGATAACTGTTCCGCCACCGTTGCCACCTGAACCAATTGTATTTCTACGTGTAGCAAAAGCTCGGGGCGCTTTTGCTAACCTTCGCCATTTATGGCGCCGGCGCGAAACCACTCTTTCCCTGAAGGGTAGAGTGTACGATGCTGCGGTACGTTCGACCCTTCTATACGATTGTGAAATCTAAGCCCTGAGATCAGCGGACCTAAAGAGGCTAGTTACGTTCGACCATCGGTGCCTTCGCAATTTAGCTCACATCTGGTGGGAACCGAGTAAGCAAGGAACGTGTTCGACGTCTTGTTTACGGCACAGGAAAAGGAACTGAAGCGCTCAGCACCGTTATTTCACCCATCAGTCTCCGATGGCTCGGCCACGTGTTATGCATGCCAGCCCACTGACTCCCGCGACGTGTGTTGTTTGCGGGCCGGGGGTGTGGATGGAAGAAGAGGAGGGGTGGCCAAGCGATGACTTGGTCGAGAGGAATGAAGGCCCTCACTTCGAAGCTGGCCACAGTTGGAGCGCCTCGGCTCCCTAGTTGGGACACGAAAGACGATGAACGCGTGTGGCTGGATACACTTGCTGATATGGCTAGGAGCCGACCTCAGTGGCGTTCGTGCTGTGAATTTTTTGTCCCATCCCATCCCTCTTATCCTCCCCTCCAAGCACCATCTCACTATTTGGCCTTGAATAATTTTGCCTAGTACTTTTTTTGCTGCATAGTAGCTGGCTGGTAGTTTACCGGAACGATGCCTATCGGTTACCGTTAGCTCAGCTGGCTTGCACCAGTTGAATTCTTTTTTTCTCTCCTTTTTTCTGTGTATTACGGCACAGTAGCTGAGGTGTTCCCTGTTGTATACGTAAGGTCAAAACGCACGAGCAAGTTAAAAGGTCATTCTGATACACGGACTGCTGTAATCTGATCAATGTCTAACTGGGTGAGTACATAAAAGTGTCACAAGGAGAATGATGAACCAATAGGGAAGCAGAGAATTGGACGCTTTGTGTGTGTGTGTGTGTGTGTCTGTGTGTGTCTGAAGTTGTGTGCACCTGTCTGTTTGGACTAGGTCAAGAATGCTGACAGAATACACAACATCACCTCTCCGCCTAATCGTTTGATACGTCAAATCCATATCGATTCGGTCGTGTTTGTTCTCGGCCTGTCCTGCGGAGCTGCGGGCTTTGCGTGGTTGCGTCCGTGAAGGTTGGTGGCATATGCTCCGTTCGTCTGATACTTGTGAATAATCTCCGGGCATTGACTGTGCGGCCATCCTCCAGCCGGTAAGTGCCTGGCCCACATGCATGCATTATTCTTATCGGATCTGATAACGTGGGTTGTCCTTTTGATGCAGCGTTTACCTTCACGCGCACGAATGTTCCGGGCTGGAGCGGCGTAGTATGCTTCTGGTAAGTGGTCTGATATCGGTGGCGACGATCTAACTCGTCGGAATTATTGGTTGCAGGAATTGGAAGTGCGGCATTCAACTTTGTCCGAAGGACACGCCCAAGCATGAGTTCAGCTGGCGTTTTGTCTGTAGCTCGGTGGTGTGCGGTTCGGTAAGAAAATAGTGCTTGTAGAACTGCATCCTCCCAACCTGTACCAGATAAGCGAATAGCTTGGATACTCTCTTTCAAGGATCGATTGAACCGCTCTACCATGCCGTTTGCCGCTGGATTGTACGGCGTTGTACGTGAGTGTCGGATAGCGTGAAGTTGAAGGAACGAATGAAACTCATGGCTTGTAAACTGCGGCCCGTTGTCCGTCACTATCTCCTCTGGTAATCCGAAGCGGGAGAACATATATTTCAGCCATCGAATAATGCTGGCAGTAGTCACCTCTCCACACAAATGGACTTCCGGCCACTTACTGTAGAAGCAGGTCGCTACCAAACAGTTCCTTTGATGCTGAGGCGCTGAGCTAAATGGACCCATGATGTCAACAGCTATCTTGGCCCACGGTCGCATAGGATAGTCAATGGGTTGTATAGGGGATGAAACCGGCCTTGAACTCTTGTCTGCCCTTTGACATGAAGAGCAGTCATGAACAAGGTTTTCTATTTCGTGTGACATTTTGGGCCACCAGAAACATGCGTCAACCTTGCGTTTCGTACGAACGATACCAGGGTGGCCTTCGTGAGCACATAGCATGATCTTTTGTATCAAGCTCCGAGGAGCCACAAACTTTTCGCCACGCATTAAACATCCATCTATAACTGAAAGTTCGTGACGCAACACGTAGTACGGACGAAACTCGCCTGTGACCTTATTGTTTTGTGGCCAACCGTTTAGCAGATACTCCTGAACGTGGCAGAGTGTCTCATCTTCCTGAGTGGCCTTCTGGAGTTCTTCCCTAGTCAGGGCTGAGATTGGTTCATTACTCAGCGAAGACACCAGTAATCTCTCATTATCATCCTCATTATTTTCAGTTTCGTTGAGGGGTAGTCGAGAGAGCCCATCCGCTACCTGGTTTTCGCGTCCGGGACGGAATTTAATTTGAAAATCGTACGTTAACAATCGTGCATACCAGCGGTGTATCCGAAGTGGCCTGATGCCATTTGTTCCTCGAGTAAGTAAACTAGTTAGCGCTGCGTGGTCTGTACGAAGAGTGAAGGTTCTTCCGAACAAGAACATATTCCACTTCTCACAGCC